AAATGAGCTTACAAGGAGGATTGGCGAAACCGCCATTCCATAAAACCTTCAGGTGTCTGGACGCAAAAAGAGTACCGCTCGAATGCAATACATATACAATACTATAGTACATACAATTTATAATACGTACATGCATATACAATATTATAGTACTATATATATCATACATGCATTGTATATAGAACCCCAAGTGATCTTTTCCTTCCTTCTCCTTTCCCCTTTTCTTCGCATCAAACGCGCACGTCCGAGGAGTGCGACCCATCGAGTTGCAGGTGACGAACATGACTTTTGCGCTGATCTTCCTGGTGCCTCGTCGTTTTTTTCGTTCGCTATCGTCTTTCCCTTTTCGTTTCATGTTCTTCCTTTTTGCAGCTGCAACATTTTTATAGCCCGATTCTTCTTGGACTGGAGCTTCATTGGTTCTTTTTCTGTGTCCGCGGGTTCTTTTTGGAGACCTCAGGATTTTTCTGATCAGTCTGATGAGGTAGTTGCATGCTTCTAACTTGTCCATTGCCGATAACTACCCTCCCCCAGCCATACAGAACATGACCCTGTGAACAGTAGTATGATCCAGTATGGGTGTCTTGAAACTCGTGGACGAAACCATGGAATTGCTGAGGCCTCTTGGTACAACTCAAGATGCCCCCAGCAGTCTTCTTTTTGCTTTTCACATGATGGCTCGCACAAAAAAACAATCTGCCAAGCAACTGGGATAGTCCAGAGGGCAATCAAATGTTTGAATCTCAAAAAGTAGTGGGGGGCCCAAGGGCCAACCAAGTGCTTAAAGCTTCAAACACAAAACGTTAAAGCAGAGGGTCCAAATGTCAACAAATCATTGAAGCTTCATTCCGGAACCTTGGTGTTTGCAGGTCGGAAAGTATCATACGTGTGGGCGATGACACGCTTAACACGTGGTTGCAATTCCTTCATCGACAGGTTCTATGAACAAAACCGACCCGCAAAAGTGGATGTATTGAATCAGAGAGGCACCGTCAAGATTTGTGTAGAGGATAACAAAGACTACTACAAATTATTTACATCAACTTACCAAAACCCCTTGAGCCTCTGCAATGAGTTCAGTGTATCTAGATGTGGCACGACCTTGAACTTCCTTGACCTGTTCGAATTCAAAGGAATATCTGCATGGATGTTCGTTCTGTGCTCACCCACAATCAGAACGGGTGCGGGTCGAGAAAGCCAGATGCGACTCAGTTCTCGACGGCTGAGGTGGAGTTGCTCCTAAGGATCACTGGCACCGGGAGGCGCAGTGTTTTGGGAAACCTCCACGCCGTCCGGCCACACGCGCCGTCCGAGTGCTTCCGAGCAGATGAATGAAAAACAATCGATGCCCTAGTGGAACCTTGATTGATGACCTGCCCCCAGGCCTGAAGAGGCTTTTCAATCCATGTCTGGGGAGGGTTTATTAATCAAGAGTCTGCATTAGTAGTATCTCCGCTAACAAGACCTTGATGACATGATGGTCGCACCAATTGTTTGCAAGCAACTTGATGCCGTTGGTCTGGTTCTCATGGAAGGGCAGGACATCTTCTGCTGTTTCTTGCACCCGTCTGTCCGGTTCAGGTGGTTTCTTTGTGATGAGAACTGGATGTGGAACTGGTTGGACGTGGCAATTGTTTTTGCTTCTTGGCCGAACAATAATGAGGGCTTTGCGCAGACTTCCGTATTGCATGTAGATACCACACCCACACACACACACCGAAAGAAGCCACTTTTGCCCTGTAGATGTCTATTGGTCTTTACTGCATTCGAGAACCCCTCGTAAGCGAGTCTTCCAGATATCTTTTGACGGTGAGCATGCAGCATGGGGCCTGATAGACACGCATGAATGAGAGCGCACATGCACCAAACATTTAGGACACGAAATCTGCAATTTGAGAAAGTTTTAACGCCCTGACAGGAACAAGCATACACCAAATATCACCAAATACTTTGCTTGATCCCCATCAAACAGAATCCTTGTTAAAGGATCCTCGTCAAACAGATTCCTTGTTAAAGCCACCCGTGAAACGGGTTTTCCACATCCGCAGAGTTTGTTGAAATTCTACTGTAGTTTAAACATGTCCTTTATCCATGCCTGAATAATGAAGACTGCCAAAAAAAGGAAAGAACGCAGGTACCTTATCTATACTAAATAATGAAGGCCGCAAAGAAGAAGAAGAAGAAGAAGAAGAAGAAGAAGAATAAGAATAAGAAACAGAAGAATAATAAGAAGAAGAAGCAGGAGGAGGAGGAAGAGGAGCAGGAGGAGGAGGAGGAGGAGGAGGAGGAGGAGGAAAAGACACAGGTATCTTATCCATGCCTAAATAGGGAAGGCCGCGCCCAGAACGTGATGCCAGAATTGAATATATAATAGTACCAAGAACCATATTATATACCTCTTTGCTTTAGTGTTTGCATTCTCTTTCTGATTAGATATATCACGAAAGCTAGCGAAGCTAGCTGGAGTTACTCTTGCGATAGCAAGGTTTCTTTCGATCGGGTGCAAATCCAAACCCCTGATGTTTCAGGTCGAAGCCCCCCCC